CACACACACACACACACACACACACACACACACACACACACACACACACACACACACACACACACACACAATTGACTTGACATTTGAACTCCAAATGCCAACACGGTCTAAAATTATTTGATGCGTGTGTGTGTCTCTGTACTTTAGTCCTGCCTTGTTCTCCCACATCTCTAGCGTTGCATATAATCCACAGTGGAATGAGTGTGTACTTAATGTTACAATGCACACACCAACACACACTAAACGCACAGTGTGTGGAGCGAGCGTGACCCTGACCTCACCCCTTACTCCTTTCCTTCCTGCCTGTGAAACCCGCACAGCTTTAAGTTTATCTCATGATCTGTTCTGTGTGTGTGTCTCGTCTTTGATCCAGTTGGTGTGTGTTTTCCACAAAGACACACACTGTTCAGCTGCTGATGAAATATATGTCTGCTCTCTTTAAATTTCCCTTGATGTGCCTCCTTCTCTCTTTTCCCTAGCTGCTGTAATTTGCCCTCTTTCTTCTCGAATTAAGACACTAAATAAAGTCTGGCTCATTAATCAACTTCTTACTAACTCAATTGAATCACATTTATCAATTAGTCATTCAAAAGAAAGACGATAATGTTAATAATGTATTAATCGTACTTTTTTACATTTCTGAGCTTGTTCATTTTCAACATTCACATTTTTATTTTCACTTCTGGTCAATCAAAATAAAACCTTTGAAGATATCACTTTTTGCTGTACTTTCAAGACATAACAATAAAAATGGATGTACAGCCCTGCCGTGTACATAATGAACACACATAATCTTAACTGACAGTTTGTAGGAAATACATATTCATCAAAGCAAAGTCAGCACAGCTTCTCTCCCAGTTACGATTAGCCAAAGCGCTTGGCTCTGCTTGTGTTGGTTTTGCATTATGAGCTCTTAAAGCAGCCAAAATACACAGCAGGGAGAGAGGCTTCATTTGATAAAGACGTTTTGTCCGGAGATTAATCAAAAAAACTCAGGAGGAGAAATATTCTATTCTTATATCCCATTAAGATCAGGGATATCTGGATTACCTCTTCTAAAGTCCCCGTAAGGAACAATAAAGAGTCGCACAGAAGAATCTGCACATACTGTGAAGAGCATTCATCTCCTCAGTGATCCACAGTGAGAGAACAGAAGCAGAGCACATTAACTCAGATGTGAGCAAAGCTAAGTGAACTATAAACCAGACAGATATTCAATCTGAATGAATAGATACAGGTATTTTTGCTTAAATGTAATGACGGTCTATAACTGAAAGCTGAATTATTTGTTATTCTTTAAACTTTTTTTCCTCTCTAGCTTCTTCCTGCACCTTTCACTATCAATACCTTCTCTCAGTGTGACCCATCTCTTTGTTTCCCCCACCTCTCCTTTTCTCACCGACTGTGTTTCTCTTTCTTTTCTTTGTGTCAAGCTCATCAGTTGATTTATTGGTTAGAAATCCGAGTTTTCCTTTGATGAGCAAATCAGAGTGTTGGACATGCTCGGCAGCCCCTTTGCTCTGTTTTTCCTTACTGAGTCCCGGTCTTACTCTTCTGTGCAGGATCGATCACCAGTGTCCCAGGGGGTGGTGGGGGTCTCCCACCTGCGGGCCGTGTCACTGTGACGCCAACAAAGGCTTCGACCCCGACTGCAACAAGACCAGCGGACTCTGTCACTGCAAGGTAACCACACACGTGAAAATCCGACATCTGTGAATAGAACCGTTATTTTTGCTCTAAAAATGAATGTTCTTTTTCTATTAAATGTAGATGTTTTATATTTACTGGATATATTCATCATACGTCACAACTGTTGTACGGTAGCTGTTCAAAGCTCTATTGAGTGTTTACAGACCTGCTGCTATGACGTTTCACATCATGGCATTCATACTAATACTGTCAGGATTAGAAGGATTTAAGTGGTGTAACTCTCACTTTGGTTTATCCCAGACAGAGTAATCATCTCGCAGTGTGGCGGTCCGACAGGCTAAGCCAGACATATAAAATAATTCAACCATGATACAGTGATCATCCCTACACATCTATACTTCTGCTTTGTTTGACATGTGTATGTATATATGTTTGTGTGTAGCTAGCATTTTAACCCTGTTTTATCCATTCCCTAATCTGATTTTTTGACCCTAATCTTTAATCTCTGATTTTGCCCTTGAACAACGTACTTAACCAGATGTTGCCCTTTGCTCCTTGTTCTTAGTTCTATAAAGAACCGAGCTTTGAAATAAAGGCTTTTTTACAGCTTTTGATGCTCACAATATAGAAACACTTTTATTCAAGCATCACAGTGATTTTAATAAGTGTGTATTGCCCTTCAGTTCAAGAAAACATATTTTGTTTTCAAGATAATCAAGTGCATCTTAATATTTGTAATTGTGCTGAGCACACGTTTGCAATTAACACTGTGGACCCTTTAAAGGTGTTATTCTTGTTGAAACCGGTTTTTTAAATTGTATTATTATTATGTTTGGGGATTTGACTCTTTAGTGCCCTGTCCATGATTAAGACGATAAAACAAGAACAAATTGCTTATAAAATGCAACACAACGCTGCTACAGGCTGAATGTTTGGTAATTACAACTCTCCTTAAAGATCCACTTCAGACATGTTCGAAGACATTTAAGAATACCCTGAAACGCTACTCTGATCATTTGGGCCTGATATGGGGTTTCATTAATTAGTTGGAAATAATTCAAATGACATCTAAACACAGAGAATCCTTTTTACCGTCAGCAGATGAATGTAGAAGCATATATATATATATATATTATTATTAATAATTGTTTTCCCTCAGTTTGGCAAACTAAACAGTTAACCTCTTTCCTTTATCTCTGGCTCTCTTCACATCACGCATGAACTGTTGCTCTTGTAGTCACGTCCCTGTCACAGCCCTATCCTCTGTGTTATTGTAAATCCTGGGATGATGTAATCACTGGCACTGTTCTTGGCAGCGTGACATTTACATTTGTCTGATTGAGTTTGATCACTGTGCCTAATTGTGTGTGTGTGTGTGTGTGTGTGTGTGTGTGTGTGTGTGTGTGTGTGTGTGTGTGTGTGTGTGTGTGTGTGTGTGTGTGTGTGGGTGTGTGTGGGTGTCTGCATTGAAGTGTGACGGCTTCATTCACCGTGCTTTTTAGGCGCACACTGAAGTGTATTGTGGGAAAGTGGCTGGTTGAAGTGAGCTGTCTGCGCTTTAACGTAGGAAAATTCCTCTGCTATTACCGCGAGAGGCGTTTCAACTTCTTCTCCAACGACGCCATATTTTTCTAATGAGTTTATCTTTAGCTGCTGCAACATTCCTCAGGCCTCAATCTGACAATACTGTACACTTGTATAGGCTATTATAGAGAGGACAACAACTAAATATGCAATACTACAGCTCAGGATACATGTCAGTATAATTGGTTTTTGATTATTTGATTTATTAGGTCAATTTAGTTTATAAATTGTTTGAAAATAGTACATTTCCTGGCCAAAGATGACATCTTCAAATAGGTTTTTGTCCAACCAACAGTCCAAATCCCAAATATATCCACAAACATATCTGAAACATTTGAACTGAACCAGAAAATGTGTTTTCCTTTTTGCGTGTGTTACTGCACAGTTAGTACTGGTCCAGAGCATTGATTAGCATCGAGCCCAATGGCTGCACCAGCTGAAGGCCACCACATACTTCATCTGACTGCCTCAGTTGCCATTTTAAGGGCATTAACAAGCATCATTTATTGTCATTATGCAGCAAAGGGTTCCACAACAAAATGCAGTTGTAGCTTAATCCATTGTGCCATACTCGAGAAACATGACGAAAGAAAATATATAAAAAGTGCATTCCTGAATGCATGCTTTCAATATTAAACAGGAGGAATGTTAACAAGGTAAAACAATGGGGAATTTCTTAGAGGATCTTTAAAACCAAAGTCAACAACTGGAAAACATTGTCCACTGAAGTTTGAGTCGACCACCTCTCGTCTCACCGGAGTCCTGCTCTCTGTCCTGCAGCCCCCCCACGTCACGTCGTCAGCTTGATGCAGGAAGCCAAGATTGGAACCACTGTCCTGTCACTGGGTCAGCCTGAGTCTCAATCTTCTGCGACCTAACACCAGCCAGGAGCAGACTGGTTGGTGGAATAGCCTTTTAGGTCATAGCTGGGGTAGTTTAGCTCCCCCTCAGCGCTTCCCCTCTCCTCCAGTGGTGATCGGCTCAAGGCCTGCTGCTCTTAATCCAATCACCTCGCTTCCTTCTCGACGTGGATGGGTTTTCCTCTTCCACAGGAAAAGTGCTCCAGCCCAAAAATGAAGTGAAGTTTGTAGAGTTATCACATGCTTTATCTGCATGAGCTTCCTTCAGAATAGCAGCTTTACATATGTATATTGCTGCAGAAAACCTCTTTATGTGTATTGACACTATTCTACACTATTCTCACCATTTGGGGTATTATTTGTAATGCTCAGCTTTTGTTTGTGGTTACATTTTTGAAATATCTATCTTTTTATATATTTCTTTTCTAGAGCAATAGTGATGCTTTTCTTTGAGAGGCAGTGGTGCTTTGTGTTTCAGTGAATGGCAGCACTGTAATGCACAGTTGTGGCACAGCTGGAGTGTGTCGGGAGAGTGGCGTTTTCGTTTTTGAAATCGCTGTTTGATGTTTGAGATGTTTACTTGTAACATGACAGATTATTTTTTCTGGTGCGTGAATGGAAAATTGAGCGGCGTTCTGCATATTTAAATTGCAATGTATGTTGTGTTGTGCTCTTTGTTCATGATTGTAAATGTGAGGGATTTTTTCACAGACATTATTTTGAATTCCTGTGCCTTTGTCTGATCATTTTGAGTTTTTGAGATTTTTATTATTGAAGAATATTTAATGCAGTATTTCATAAAGCCTAAATTGGTTGAAGACTTAAATATCAAACAGATGTACTTCTCTGATATTATGATACAGTAGAGTTAAAGCTATCACAAATTGACTTCTATTTCTATTATGTTCCTTTTCTCTCTAACCAAAAACAACCTTTACTAAACGTAGGTTCTTTTAGGGTCTTAAACCCCGATACCAGCACAACGAATCCGTTCTCTGGTGTAAAAGTCTTGACATTTTTTTGTACAACCCTCCTCCTTTATGACCTCTGAACACATACATTGATAAAGATTTCACATTTTGCTACAGGATTTGATTTGTAGATTTGATCTGATTTTGATCTGTATTTTTGAAAATGATTTTTTAGTTTTTATCTTTTTTTTTAGCATATATATATTTAGTTTATTATATTATAACTTAGTACTTTTTTTGGCATATTGTTGTGTTGTTTGTTTATTATATTATAACTTAGTACTTTTTTTAACACATTTAAGATATGCAACACTAAGCTGTCTGTGGCTCTTTCCTGCTGTAACGCTGCAAATTTCCCCTCTGTGGGACTAATAAAGGTATTCTGATTCTGATTCTGATTTGACGGATTCTAAAACACTGTGTATTTCCAGCTAATGTAATCCATGTAGAAAATCATACATTTGGTCTAGTTATATACAGTATAACTATATTAAGNGACGATCGACCGACGTCAAATAAAGCACAACTTTAAAAGTTGGTGTACACTATTTATCACGTGACGCGTAGACGGTTACCACAAGTCATAAACACACGCGTTTACTCAATTCGAGGGAGGAGGTCTACAGAACTCGGCCATGTAGGCAGATTCGAAAAGGACCTATCCTGGTCCCTGGTACCGTAGAGACTACCTCGTTCTCTTCCACCTGGACTACCACGGTGTAACCTGTTTCGTAACCCTCTGAAACAGGTTTTTGTGTGAATCATTGGGGTTGTCGGTAACTACCGAAGACGCTCCCCGTAACACTCTTTCCGACGAAGCTCCTCCACCTGGTCTTCGGACATCCTGAAAACCAATGGTGTACGTGGGGTAGAGCACCCGGCCTCGTCAAACCTCGACCCTTGGTTTGACGTCGAGCGAGACAGTCGAGGACGGCATGAGGACTCGGTTCAAGTAGTTCGAAACCCCCTGCTTTGTCGTCTACAGGTGGGCCCTGTACTCGTCGGAAGACCGAAGTTTGTGCTACAGAGCCAAACAAATTCGACAACTAAATGGAGGGGCGTTGTTACTCTTCTCCGAAAACGTTGCAGAAGGAGTGCAGGAGATCAAGTTTCAGGGTCTCTCGTGAAGAGTCTCTCGAAAACGAAAGAAGAGCGTCTGTCAGACAGTACAGTAGCTGTCAGTGGAATCTACCCCAGTAACAGAAAGACGACTCGGCGTTTTCAAGTTAGTGGGTCACGCTAGAACCAGAACATTCTCGACTGTACGGTCGTCTAGACGTCTCGGGCGATTATATACCCCGCAGCTTGTTTGTGGGACTACCCAGAACATCTACGGAAACGAAGGAAGTTCCTTTAGGTTACCTGTGCAACAGCGACCTAAAGACTTATGAGAGCGCTGACAACTTGGTAGGCCCATCTTCGTCCCCATTGTCTCCGCACCTCATAATCTCCGGGTTTCCTCTCCAACGGAGACGCAAAGAGTTACTGAGGTAACTATACGACAACGGCACATAAGTCTCATGTCCTTGTCTGAATTTTCTTGTGTTAATGTAAAAGGTTGCCTCTCTGATCTCTATCAGTTCGTGTCACTAGTCAACTACCGTGCTGTCTTCACTTGACCACACAAGTCACCCTTCACCGACCTTCCTTCCTCTTTAAAGGCTGAGGAACAGACACTTTGAGACCCTTGGAAGAAGGGGTGTCTCAAAAGTTCTGTTCCTCAGCCTTAAGAGAAGGAAGGTCGGTTGTAATCGGTGGACTTTGTGTGTGACAAGTGAGTACAGAGCACGGTAGTTGACTAGTTGACCGAACTGATGAGAGATCAGAGAGCCAACCTTTTAACCGATTAACACAAAAATTCAGACAAGGACATGAGACTAGTGCCGTTGTCGTATATGTTACCTCCAGGTAACTCCTTTCCGTCTCCCGTTTGACGAGAAACCGAGATTTGATAGGTGCAGACAATGGGGACGAAGATGGGTCCTACCAAGTTGTCAGTCGCTTCATAAGTCTTTAGGTCGCTTTGCACAGGTACCTAAGAGGAACTTCCTCGTTTCCGTAGATGTCTGGGTAGTCCCAAAAAGCTGACGGGGGTAATTAATCGCCCGAGACCGTCTAGACGACCGTACAGTCGAGAATGTTCTGGTTCTAGCGTGACAACTAACTTGAAACGCCGAAGGTCGGTCTTTTGTACTGGGGTAATTTCCACGATGGATGGTGCACAGACCATTCACACCCTGGCTGGAGATCTGAATGAGGAGCTTGGTCTGGAGGAAGACAGAGAACCAATTCAGGAACCTGTCTCTTCTCCTTCACCTACTCCTCTGACACCAAGTGCTGGACCTTCTGCCAAAGTCAGCTTGGAGGAAGAACCATTTGCCTCTGCGCCAAACCTTGAATACAACTCTGCTGTGGTTCCAGCTCTGCTCTCTTCTGTGACCACTGCTGATGACCCTCCTGCCATCACTGTCACCCAGGATGGTTTGACGATCAGCGAGATTGATCCAATGGAGCTGTTTACACCAGAGACAGACTGTGAGGATGTGGAGCTCAGCAGAGAACAAGGCCCTGCTGTGACTCTGGCTCTTCCAACCCCCCATGATGGACCTGTTGTCATGACTGCAGCGCAGGATGAACGGACAATCAGGAAGCGTGAGGTCAAAAGGAAGAGACGAGTCCAGCCCTTCTTGGTTCAGAAACAGTCTGATGCTGCTGCCTACCTGAAGACGCAGACTGAGAATGTTCCTCAGTTTTCTTTTCCTGTTTTTCCATTTCGTTTCTATTACTGTTGAACAAATAAATTCATTGTTGCATTTTAGTCCTTCTGCATCACTGTTTTACTTTTAAAGATTTTGAATTCATGGTCTAACAGTTACTGAAGTTACATTTGTTGCATTTACACAACGGTTTGAGGGCCTTAAAGGTTGAATGTGTCTTATCAGAGTTTCAAAGACGTATACAAAATGCATACAAAACGTCTTTAAATAGCCACTGAGAGGAACACATTCCTTGATAAATCTACAGAGATAAATACATTAGCATATCAGAACCAGCACAGTATATACATTAGTACAAAAAACAAAACGATGAAACCTTCTAAAAATGTATTTTAATTATTGAGGATACTGTTCCTATGGTACCTTTGTATTGTTCTTGAATTTGAAGAAGGATAATACCATTTAAAACAAGATTAGACATGTAAGTAACGTTAAAAACGAAAAAGATCTCTTGAAAAATATCTTTACTTTCATTGAACCACACGGTATAGTATTTATCATTGATTATCTTATGATAGAAACATATTCAAAAAAGTCCTTTATGCAAATATGAATTATGGAATAGAGGCTAGAGGAGTACTCTTGATACAGTATAGTTTGTTGTGTACAGTATATACATCCGATACATTGTAGTTTTCCCCATGTTCAAAAGCATTATAAAGGAGGACATTTGTTTTATTTTTCAGTTAACACTAAGTTCTGTTTGGTGCAATGGTTGATGTAAAACTCTCCCTTCTTGTGTGTGTGTGTTTAGGCTCAGAATCCCTATCACAACGCCTCTCTGTTGGAGCAGAGCGGGCTGCACCGCATCACCCTAGGAACCTCCACCATCTCCTCCGTGAGCTCCGCCAGGTAAATGAATACACACACACAAACACATCCCAACTCCCACCAAATAACTATAAATGTATTTAAGAGAAAGACTTCCACACCATGGGTGGTTGAACAGGTTAAGACCGATAGCAGAATTCCTCCTGTAGTTCAAAAGCACATTTGAAAGTAACAATATACCAGTGATAAATGATCATTTGAATCAAAGTTTGTCAGGTTTGATTAATGTCTGTGACTCTGATTTGGGAGACAGTTGCCTCAGGGAGGAAATTCCCTAGCTAACAAAAACCCTGTTGTGCATTTTTGGGTCAGTGGGGTAAATATGAAGAAGATTGGATGGAACAATGTAATGTAGTGTATGTAGAGCAACACTAATGTACTCAGAGAGGGGCTGGTGGTGTCTTAATGGTCCAGTGATTGTCTGACCTGTCTGTATTTATATGGGAGTGTGTGCAGTTGCAGTACATATTACATGGATGTCTGGCCTGTGTGGCTGCATGTACAGTACAGTGTATGTGTCCTCATTTCTCTCCTCTTTCCCTGTTAGAGAAAATCTTTTGGCCCGTCAGACTCTGGAACAGAATATTGTACAAACCGGAGCGACAGACCTGGATGTAGCCATGTTCCACAGAGACGGAGGTGAACACACACACTTTCAGAAAGCAGACACATTTTCCATTTCTTCACCCCTCATACTCTCTGTTTCTGCTCCATATACATTTCGATGAAGCTCACCTCACAATGGAGAATAACCTGTCAACGCAATCTTTCCTTACGCTTTGTATTCTTCTCTTTTCCTCCTCTTGTTTCCTCCCCGCCTCCATTTTCTATCTTCCCCTCCCTCTCCTGCCTCCACCAGGTGAAGATTCAGACTCAGACTCAGATCTCTCCATGGACGAGGAGCGCAGTCTCTCCATCCCTTCCTCTGAGAGCGAGGACAACGTCCGACTCCGTGGACGCATCCAGCGGCGATTCAAACGCTCCAATCACAGCGAGCGTCTGCTCACAGAGCCCGCCCACAACGGCACCAAAGGTACTTTAATGATGTTCAAATGGTTTATTGACTAGTTTTGGTTTTAAAAGCAGTTCTCATATCTAATTCATTCAGTGATGTTAAAGAGTCCTGCTCAAGGACTATTGATTTGTGTATTGAGATTTTATTTTTAAACTGATGATTCTTTGCAATATAGGTTTTCGGTGGAGTATTAAAAGTATAAATTAACGGGTATTTCTAACCTTTTGATGTTGCATTATTTCATAATATGTTACAGAAAACCAAAAGGCTTACTGAAGTCTACCCATTAGAACAATGTGCAGTTGTCAAAGCATGTGCCTAACATCAATGGTGAAATGACTTGTAACTGGAATAAATAAAGGTTAATTCTTTGATAGACAGCTACAGTTCTTCAATCATTTTGAAAACGTATTAATCAAAAGTGGTGTCTACACAGAACTATCTTAACATGTTGAATGGCTGCAAAGGGGAAGACACTGTGTCTCACATTAAAAACATGAATTGTGTGTGTTCATAGGACATTAGCAATAGTCTGATATATTCTCCACCAGTATGTCACTCTAAATTAGCTCCAGCTGTTGTTTTGAATGAACATGTGCTATTAATCTGTGGACACCTGTTACTTGATACATACATCTGTTTTGTATCTATAGGATGCAAGCACTGCAACATAATGAAGCAAAATACTTGATATTAAAAGATGAGGCATGAGAATATTTTGACAGCTTTATGTAACTGGTGTTTGGTCGAAAGTCATTGCTTCATAAAGTTGTGGCTGAGAACATGTTTGTGTGAAGGGTGTCAGCTCTTGAGTAACCAGGAAGTGATTGTTGTTTTTGTGTTACAGATTTGGATGGCAATGACCTTCTGTCCTACTGGCCCGCTCTGGAGGAGTGTGAGACACACAGCCTTCAGAAGTGGGGCTCAGAGCGCCCCCTTGGGTCCGATTACAGCAAGGACGCCGCCAACAACAACCAGACTGACGCGGCGCTGACCAGCGGGGACGAGAACGGCCTCACCCAGCCCAACAGGCACCGCAAGGGTGAGAGGCACACAAATGAAAAGATCTAAGGGCACATTGATATTTTGGGTTGGCTTTAATATAGTAATCTTTAGTTTGTGTACTATGCAATAAATATTAGTTAGTAAAATGGCACATGGATGCTGAATAAGACACATCACTTCAAACATTTGAAAATAAACATACACATTCTGAAATAATGCATTTAAGATTAATAGAGTTTTCCCTATGGGATATAGATTAATTATATAGATTTTTGTTTCTCTCTTTTTCTTCTCATCTCTATAAACTCTACTTGTCTACTTGATAGCCCCTGGCCTGTATTCTATAATATCGGCTTTGTCCATGAATAAAAAATGTCTTGACCTCCTGTCTGACTGATGCCGCCTCTTCATCAGGATGTAAATGGGGCATTTTGCCAAGAGGAACACGGAGACGTTTTCAGTGTCAGCAAAGCTTCATTTAAAACACAGCTCAATAACGTTGACCTTATCTTCTGTATTTGAAGTTTGTCTGTTATACATTTAGATGTATTTAAGTCGAACCGACATGTGACCCAGCATTGTTACATTACATGATGATAGAAATTCACAAATATATCCTTTAAATCTGATTTGGTTTGTTTACTAAACTTCTTGTTGGTTTTATATACATATCAGACTTTTAGTGTTGTTGGGACGTTCAAAGAGGATCATTATTTTAAGTCAAGTTTTGTAAAGATTATTATGGTCAACATACAATGATTTTCACTTTGACCAACTCATGTGCACATAATGGGCACGTTTTTCACACACTTAACGCAATACAGGACTGCAATCAGATGACCTGACCCTGATGCATAAAGGAGGACTTAAATAACCCTCTGGCTATGTTAGGTCTAAATCTGTCCCTGAAATTATGGCTGGCACTTGTATGTGTACAGGACAGTTTTTATATTTAGAATACATACATATAAAATGGGAACATGCAATGACACACTGAGAGGGAGTGAGAGAGAAAGATGGCAGCCTGGGAGCATGGGTGCTATTTTAGTAAACCTATTTCAAGCCTGATACACACAAACACAAGCTTTCCTCCTGTGACTTACGTTTTAAAACTTTTGTTTTTAAGGTTAGGAATTTGCTTGATTACGAAATGTAAATCTCAGTATATATGATATATATAATATAGATTGCTTGTTGTGGGTATAAAGGACTTTTGTAACTCTATCTTTTAAATTGTATTCAAAATAACAATTTTGATATTATAAGGTTTAAGAACCTAAAAGTGTGTGAATTTAACTTTAAAAAACCTGACCAATCACTGACTCCTTCTTTTGTGCTCTTTTTCTGTTCATCTTTCTGTATCCCTCGACACATTTGACTCTCTTTGCTCTGTGTCCCCGTCTAATGTTCTCACGTTCCTATTTTCTTGTCTCAGGTATCCTGAAGAATCGTATCGGCTGCCCCCCGGCACTCCAGGGTCTCTCCTCAATAGGCCGGGCCCCCAGTGATCTGAACTGGTACCGGACCTCCACTCTGGGCCACCGGGGGGTCCCTGCAGCCTCGTACGGTCGCATGTACTCTGCCACCGGTGCAGGTGGAGGTTCAGGTTCTCTCTCTCAACCGGGCTCCCGCTACTCCTCCAGGGAACAGCTGGACTCGCTGTCCCGGAGGCAGCTGTCTAGGGACACCCTGGGGAGGCAGGCGGTGGGCGGGTCCAGAGACCGACTGGACTCCCGGGGTTCCAGGGACAACCTGGACCTCCTACCCCGGCGGAGAGAGCTGGGGCAGGGAGCAGGGCTGGGGGGCCTGGGGCTGGAGCATCAGCGGGTCTCCTCATCCAGGGAGAACCTGTCGGGGTCCAGGGACAGACTGGACCTCCAGCACACAGGCAGCGTGCACGCCTCCAGGGAGGACTTGAGTGGGAACGGGGGAGCGGGGGGGATGGAGGGATTCCTCAGCGGGTCGAGGTCCCATCTGAACTCGCTGACTCGGCGGCAGGCCTCGTCCCGGGAGCACCTCGGGGGGGCGTTGATGAGCAGCAGGTCGAGGGAACAGCTGGAGCCAAACGGGGGCGGGGCCCAGCCGTGTCGGGAGTGGCTGCGCACTCTGCCCCCCCGCCAGCCTGCGCACCCCGACCAGCCTCCCTCGTCCTCCCCTCCTCCCCCCATCTCTGAGGAGCCCCCGCAGGACCAGCTCCCGCCTCACGTCAGAGGACGGCTGGACTCCGCCCCCCCATGTAGGTACACCGGTCAGACTGTCCCACAGGGCGCAGGTTCAAATCCCAACGCTCTGGGGAGACAACCATCTTGCGAACACCTGGACATCCTGTCCTCTATCCTGGCCTCCTTCAGCTCCACCGTCCTCACTCCTCCCCCCTCTAACCCTGGGCCTAATGGCTCTGCCCATGGACCCTCCCCCTCCCCGCCCCAATCAGCAACCTCCCACAGCATATCTGAAGTCTCCCCTGACTCAGAGTAAGTCCTGCTGTGTTAATGAATCCCCCCCTCTCCCCTGATCCTCTGTAAACATCATATGTGGCTATTCTTTCCTGCAGCCTTCCACTCTACTGGTTCTGCCTCTAACAGCTCATTTACATGTTGCTTCTGTACTTACTGTATTTTGTCATCACTATGTGTAAGTGGAATTAGCATCAATTGAGAGGATTTTAAAGACTTATTTTTGTTCTCTTTCCTCAGAGCCAACAGAAGTGAAGGACAGTCTTGATGACAGCCTACATGTCCCTTTATTCATTGAGGCGGTGTTTGGAACACGAGGTTCAGAGGTCACGGATCGTCCGGAACCACTGGAGCACTCTGAGGAATCTAAGACTAGAAACACTCGGGACAGAGGAGACACTGAGTTTGTCAGAAAATACGACAGGGAGAGCGTCGATGAGGTTAAGGAGGATGCTCTTGCGCGGTTTGTACTGTATAAATTAAGTTTTTCAAGTCCCACCGCCTTCAACGAGCTATGACGTTTATTTGGACGTTGAGTCAACCACCTCTACTACCTACAAACTGTTCAAGATAAACACAAAATCCTCAGATTTCAAACGAAAAATTCAGCGTGATCCGGACAACATGTGTCCGCAAGAAGAAAAAAAGAAAAGACTGTAAATAACATTTTTATACATTTTGTATCTTTTTCATTGGAGATGAAGAAGAAAATCTCTTGTGATGTTTTCTCTTTTTTTTTTCTTTTTTTTTTATGATTGTGTCCGTGTGAGGTTGTGAGTGAGGTCGGTGCGTTTGCAGTCTTGTACGTTGCTGAGGGAGACATTTCCCCTTCAAAGAAAAAAAAAATCCCAAAATCTCTCCTTGGAAACAGTTTTCCTCAGAAACATTTCCTCACATTTATCAACTCTGTAAAGCAACAGCAGGGGTCCGGCAATATTATACCATGAGATTATCAAAAAACCGCCACATGAGGTTGAAGGGAAAATATCAAAGCAACAAGAACTGATTGTATATAGAGGAAGGATTATATAGGAGAAGAGATTTGATGGAAGATGATTGTGAAGAGAAAGATGGCCAACGTTTAGCTAAAGCACCACAGGAAGGTTCAGAGTTGGGGGATCATTTAGTAAAGCTCAGTCACGAATGTCAAAGTATCGTCTCATTCAGGAGACTGCGCTGTTTTGTGATCCATTGTTCATGAATGTGCCCTTGTCGCCCATCTGTGCTCATCTGTGTCTGGTGCTGACGGGTGAAGGAAGACATTTGTCTGCTTCTGTGTGTCATGCAACAACCATTTAAAGACCCTCAAGGTATTTCCCTCTCTGATGCATCACGACTCAAACCTGCCTCAAGAGAAGCCACAGGAGCAGTGAAATGTCTCTGGCAGCATCCAGGAGACTCACTTTTGAAAGCTTCTTCTGTTCTGCAGAAATCCAAGCCAAAGGGACACACTCAAAATCAGAACTTCACATCCTCGTTCTTCAATTTCCTGGGATGAAAATGACCTGTGCAGGGTGTGAAAGCTCTATGCGTAATTCTCATTTTTGTTTTTCGGGTATTTTTGTTGTTTTTTCAATGACTGTGCCATGAAAACAAGTCCAAATTGAAAAAAAACTGTTTTAAAAAGGCCTCTAGATCTGCGCCAAAACATTACCGACTGTTTGCAGGATTTTGATTTGCTGTCATTAATCTTAGTGTGCTACCATATTTTATTTGGAATTCACAAATTAGACCTGCATTACATATCCAGCTTGCATCAGCTCGTGTCTGTAACACATAGATCCCCTGCCAGGTTTTGTTCCTTGGCTGAAGACAGTTGCTAGGAAATGAATTATTTATATTCGAGGCACTTCCTTACTTTGCTAACAAGCTGTCATTGATGGAGAGGTTCAAACCAGAACACATTCATACACATTTCCTCTCATTGTTTAGGAAGAGATGAGGTCTCTTGCAAGATTTGGCTTCGCTTCTGCAGCACCGTAGCGGTCTGCTGAGGAGAGGAGATGTCAGGTGTGTCAGCGCTAAAAGCCTCTAAGTGGGTTTGAGTGCCAGCTCTTTCCATCAGCAGCTGCTCCTCTCTCTCAGCTGAGTTCAGGCCTTCAGGTAACAACACACAGGCATTTAGAAGCAATGGAGACAGACAGGCAGTCTTCAGAAGGATGAAGGGAGTGAAGCTGACATAACTCTGTGTTTTCTGTTGTCAATGGAAAATGCAGTGTCTCAAAAAGATGAGGTTTTTGTGTTGCCAAAATGTGTTGTCCTCGAGCAGAGAGCACTGTGACATTTAAGCAACCCTAGTAGGTAGAGCGCAATAATAAATCATGAGGTACAAAACCCGAGGATGGAACAAATTGGGTCAGAAACTGCAAAATGTAGCTGCAGGGACGAGGGCGTGGACGTTACTCATCGCAGAGAAACAATTATTGAAAAGAAAATTCTGGAAAAACACACACACCTCACAAATGAATATCTCCCTGCTCTGTCTTCCCATGTCCCTGGAAGATGACAAGCCAGCATATTTGTAAAGTAGTATTGCCAAAAAATGCTCCAGAACACGAACACCACCCACTATTCTGTTTAAGGTGGAGACTTGGATTCCTACTCACTCGTTTCATTCATCTGTTCCATTCATTTATTTATTTTTCTTCACAGATCCATTCATTATCTTCAACTGACAATACCTTTAACTTGTACAGACATGAGATTTATTTTATTTATCAATAATTTATTGACACTGTATTGATTATTTATGTTGCCATTTTGTATGGGATTGTTTTTTTGTTTTTTTTAAGTATGTGATTTTTTTCCATCCAAATGCTCCCTTTTTTCGGTTTCTCAGTCTCAATGCAACAAATTCAAAGACAAATGATAAGAAAAGAGCAGGAAAAGTGTCTCTTTCATGCAGGACACTGGATTTGGTTTATATTTGAGCAAAGAAGTTTGAATTTCAACCCTATATTGGTGCATTTATCCTCCCTAGACACAATTTCAACATATCCAAACTAACAGGCGAACTCTGGGTGTATATAGTGCAGATATGGTTCAAACTAACCTTCCTGTTCTAGATCCAAGACTGAAGATTTATATGCACAAAATCAAATCATTAACCAGTCATATTAATGCTTTTATACACAGCAGTCAATTAACAGAAAACTCCAGCTTCAGGTTAATCTGGTTCTGAGAGTGAGAGGAAACTAAGGCGTTCCTGAAACGTTGAGATGTGCTCTGCTTAAGCAAAAGTGGACAAATGACGGACACAGTGAGAGATTGTTGGTGAGGGGAGGAGGAGGGATGGGAGATTGTCTTTGTTTTCTCGTGTGTTCATTATGGGATGCCTTCTATCCCGCCGTCGGCAAGGGGACGGCGGCATGGAAACAGCTGTTCCCCTGTTACCGCGGAAACAAGAGAAATGTTGGATATTAAAAAAAATGACTTATTCCTACACGGCTGTTCATATTTATTCTGGGTGAGTGTGTGTGGTTTCCTTATTCATGAGACGGTTTTCCACAAGGCGCTCTGTCCTGTTTCGACTCTCAGAGCGTCCTGTCACATCCAGAGGAGTCAGAGATGTTCAGCTGCCACCATGATGCCTGGTGAAAACAGAAGCCCCCAGCTGAGACAGAATATAACCTGTACTCAGGGTTATAGGACCACTTAAAGGTCAGATTTGTAATAGTATGACTCATTGGCAGGTATCTGAAACATGCTTATACCTTTGACATACACAGACGGGTGACAATTTAAAGGGATATTTTGTATTTATATTAAATATGTATATTTGTTTTGTGAGTTTGATCAAATACATATTTTTCTGCATTAAAGCCAAGAGGCAATTAGCTTATCTTAGCATAACACGAACAGCTAGCCTTCCCCTGTCAAAACTCAAATTATATTATTTATTTACATGGCCAACAAAAAGTTACTTATTTGAACATGCAAAAGACACCATGCATGTAAAATCATGAAGAAGTGTTGTCCATTTAGGAATAACATTAAATGTGTACATCTGCCGTGATTAGATTTCATCTTAATACATTTTTTAATGCTCTTTACAATCACCCTCAACCTTTAACATCAATGGACATCTCAAAATGTTAAATACTTAAGACACATGGTGATGAATGATTATAAAACAAAACAGGATCATGGTATCTTTTAAATATTTACCAATGTAAGAAGCCTTTCAAAAAGATGTGCAAAATATGATACCATTTACATGTTTTCCATTGGTCTACTAGAACCTGATTTTCACTTTGAGATTAAACGAAGTGTACTCAACTAGTTCAGTTTATCTCAGAAAAATCAAAAGAAGTATTTGTGTACAGTAAGAACTGCTGATTTAAAGCAACTAAAAGTCCTCTTATAATACATGTATAAAAGTAGCAACAGTTTCATGGCATATACACAAAAGCATTCAATAATGAAACAAGCGCTGATAAGAAATAGAATCCGTTCATCCTGTCTGATTAGAAGTTTTCTCCTCTTCGTCGCTGCTGCTGGAGGAAGATGGCGGAACGTCCTCTCCCATCCTCTTTAGCTTGGCTTTGTAGTACGCCTTCTTCATCCTGAAGGCCTTCTCCTCCTGCCGCGCTGCTCTCCTCCTCTCCCTCACCAGCTCCTGCTCCCACGCCAGCACCTTCATCCTGTTCTGCCACTCCAGGATCTTCATCTGCTGCTGCTGCTCCAGAGCCTCGGCCCTCTGCTGGTGCTCCTGTCGGGACATATCTGCGGGGTCCTGCTGAGTCGAGCGGCGGGTCTCTTCCCCCCCCTTGCCGCCTTTCGGGAGGAGACGCTGGCTGATGAGCCGGGAGGTGCCTGCCAAGTCAGAGGTGAAAGATATGTGTTGATTACTTCACAATATGAAATGCATGTAGCTGTTTCAATCAATGCACAACTGGTTTCTTATTAGCGGTTTACACCGCAGAAAGTTTAAAACAGGGCTGAGAAAAATGTGATGCAAGAACCAGGGGCTACTTTTAGTATCGTCCTAACTGACTCCGAATTAATTCTCCTTGAAATCTTTCCTTCACCTTGATGAAAAAATCATGACGTCAATGAAAGATGTCAAGGAGAACCTGATAGGCAAACCATTTGTTCTATACTACAGCATGGCTAGGTGTCTTTATTTGTGGCATGAATAGTCGGAAATGTGTCTGTAAAAACTAGACTCATTTTAGGGAGGGTTGCCTGAAGTGCCTCCGCATTGGCATACTGGTCAAAGTATGAGGACCCACGATGAGAGCAGTTCAACCATTTATTCTCTTCACATGCAGTTGACAGTTGATCTACATGATGGTGGTGATGAATTTAGGCCAGAACATAAAACACAAATGGAAATCAGGAAGGGCTACAACACTCTGTTACAACAAATATTGCTTTTCGCAGGATAAGGATTAGGATAAGCCATCAATAAACATAATCACAACTTACTCAAATAATGTATCGATATATTCAGCTTGTGAAGAGAGCACATGAGGTCAGCTTGCTGCTACAGACACGGGAGAGAATGAGCAGGGCTGATTACAGGCCTTAAATGGGATCAGGTGTGCCCTGGTAGGTGGAGGCTAAGCCCCGCCTCCCACAAGACCAAAAAAGGCAGGGGGATTTACAACAGTGTCTGTTTTTAAACAGTAATTGTAAACTAATAGACCCCTGCCTTCAAATTAAATCCAGCCACAAAAAAATAAAAAACATTGTATATTTAAATGAGTTTTGATTCAACTTCATTGTCATTTAGTAAAAAAATAAAACCTTAATGCAGGGGGGTAAAAGACACTCCATCCTCCTCTGTGATGTTATCCCAAACAATCCTATCAAGCTTTAGGTAATCATTAAGTGTTTTGTATGTGATACTTCTCAGCAAAGAGTAATATTCTTGTTAATATTGGAATGTAATTAACATAATAATTCAAAAGAGTGTGGCAGCTGGCAGAGATGTATCTATGTATCTGTGTACCTGGTGCTGTGAAGTAGGCAGCTGGAAATGTGGCATCCTGCAGCTCAGCCTTGTGGGAGGTGGAGTTTGTAGTGGGGCTGTGGTGCTGATCGGCCCAGTCGCTGCCTGGTATTCTGTCCAAGGCGTCCCGCTGGACGCAGATGGCCACTTGCTCCTTGCTGTCTTCAGTCTGAGGCGGAGAGAACAAAGTGTGTTTTAAGGTATTACTTCCCGCTGCTGGAACATTTTATGAGTCAGTTGTGCATTGATATGAGCTGCTCCAGGTTCATTTGAATGTTCTTTATAACTAGACATTTAACTCTAACCAAACAATCACTTGAAAGATTTACCTGATTCACGCTGCCATTTATCTGCCCAGCAGCATTGATCAGCATCACATTGCCTCCTAATTGGAAAAAGAGACAGACAGAATGGGAGGCACTGAATGTTAGTGTCTCAGAGAAACAAGTAGAGAGCGCCTCCCTCTGGTTAAGGCAGGTACATCACATCTACACAAGCTCATTTACAGACTAACACACATATCTAGTCCAAAGCGCCTTACAGCATCATGACTGCACTCCTTTTTTAGTATTTGTAATAGTAGAAAATAAGCTTACTGTTCTGTAAAGATAATTACAAATATAACGTTGAAATGTTACAATCCAGATTTTTTTCTAGGTTTATTTCATCAGGATGGAATGGGCTTGATACTGCAGCATCATGTCATTAAAGACAGTAAAAAAATAGTGCTGTAAAAAGCATAAGGACAGGGTTCCCACACCTCATTTAACAAGGACCCAACGCCCATGGTTTGAAACTCGGATCAACGTTAGTTAGTTTAACACTGAAACATTTTATAATGAGAACTAGCAGGCTCAACATAAACTCAGGAACAAATTAAAGTTAATGTTACACCAGGTTTGTGTAACTTCATAATAATGGAAAATCACAAAATAATGGGGTAATAAATATAGGTTAACCTTAAATTTAAATTATGACAAAATACTGTTTTTACTTCACTCTAGTATTACTTTTATTATTTTTACATTTAAAACAGTGCGAGCTTTAGGCAATTGTTCTCCATGGCGTAGCACCTGCTCTAGACTAGGACACTTCAGCAGGATGCAGATGTTCAACTACAGCTGTTCCTCATCTCCACTGCAATATTGTTTTAATTGAACATCTTAAAACGTAAGAGGAAGTTTATGACAACCATACGAGGTTATATTGTTGTCATCCAAAAATCGTATGCATGCATTGCATTCTCATAATTCATGACCGATGGGAAAGCTGTGGTTAATGACCTGAGACAGATGTTTTAACTCTCACGTCTATACAGCTGTTGCAGCCAAATACACACACCCACCACCAAAAACAAAACTGCAGCACCACAACCCAATATTAAAGAGGCTGGACAAACAGGGAGGGTCAGTATTAAACACATGCATATATTTAAACGCGTTTCATGGCAGTTTCCCTTGATATAATTGAGGCTAAGCTACTGTACCTTCCACTAGCTTGCGGACTGCTGCTTTGTGGCCAGCTCCCGCTGCATGGCTGGTGAGAGCAGCCTCGCCCATGGTCTGAAGTTTGATTGATTTACAACACGCCCTACACCGGGCGAAGTGAATGTCCTGGACTTCCTTAACCAGCCAGTCCTTGTACATTTCCCTAGAGAGCCAGGAGTCTTGAAATTTACATTTCCCAGGCATGGCTGACGCTGAAGTTAGCTGCACTGCTACAGAAACCACTGCCTCCTGACGCGTTCAATTTCCACTCGGTAATCACTGTGTATGTCACTTGCAATAACTCTATGAATTGTTGACATAGAAATAGCCAATATCTGTAAAAGAGAATTAAGCTAACTCACATGACCTCCTAAGATGTTCCTGTGAATTGCTGTTTGCCTGCACAATTGTTTTGCATTGTTGTGGTATGAATAGTTATCATATTTATGAAGTATTTACAGTTACAATCTTACTTAAATATAATTTTGTTCTGATAATGGTAATCATTAAATTATCAGAAAATAAATAAATAATATCCTACCCGTTATATTTAAATAATTAATACCCCACAAATAGCCTACTGAACAACTTTATTTTTCTCCAGAAGACACCTAAAGGTAGCACAACTCAATGACAGTCGGTCACATGGGTTGCTTTCTCCAATACAAATACATCGTACATCTTTCTAACCAATCAGAGTCCAGGAAGCCATTAGCCTTGCTTGATTGGTTTAGATGCGGCACGGAAGACAGTTCAGAAACGCATGGGTACTGGATTGCTGACGGAGAAGGCAAATAAAGATGTTTTAATGCATATTTGAATCAAAATTTTTCAGGCGTTTGGTCCTCTTTATAAGTAAATCATGTAGCGGTATTAATATCGACCTAGCAAAGATACATTTCTAGGTTTGCACTTAACAAACAACATGAGAAGTACTCATGCTGTTAGCTTGTTTTGCTAACTGAAAAGCTAATGACAACTGTTCTCAACGTAGACTTTTAAACATTTGAATATTTAAGAGGCCTGCGGAACCCGCTGCTTGCTTGCAATCTTTTCGGATGCTATCGTCTTTAATAAGTGTGTTGTAACTTTGAATCTTTCAGGAACCATTGGTAATGTGTCTTCGTGAAAGTTATTAACCATTTAGAGATGGAGACAGCAGCCTTGGTAGCTCCAGTCACAGCTCTGGAGTTTCTTCAGGATGCATTTCTTCTGACGGGTAGGAAGCACTATCGATGTACAAGTGTTGTATATAAATGCAGTACAAAAGGGAAATATCATTGGGTTTCCCATATACTCGTATGTGCATTATGATTATTATGTATATTTCTTTAGGTCAAACTATAAATGCATTAGTAGAAATTGCGCTAATGCTTTCTAAGGGGGCTGTGTGTGTGTCTATTTTTAAAAGAAGTCTGAACACCATGAAGGATCCCACGATGCACTAACCAAATCTTCCGTTACCCTTTCCTGACAGGTGAGGGTCCAGTCTTGACGGTGTACAGTCTCAAACATCGTCCAAAAGCCTGTGCCTCACTGAGTGTGCTCCAAAACTACAGAATCCACGGAATAAGACCTAGGAGTCTTGCGGCTGGTAAGAAGATAGATGAGGCAATGTTTATAAGTCACTGTTATATTACATTTCCTCTGTTGCACTTAGTGATTATGTTCTATGTTTCCCTTCTCCCAGGATGTATACAATAATGGCAGTCTTGGCAAGAGTTTAATCTCACTTACTTTTTTTTTATGTTTTTCTGTTCATTCACCCATTAAATCTCCTCTCCTCTGTGAATCCCCAGAACGGAGCTCCATCTTGGGACCCAACTTCTATGACATTGTGGTGTTTGGAGGCAAGGCTGTGAGGTTGGTGAGGCTCCATGTGGATCTCCAGGATGGGGAACATCTGCGTTTGGAGATTCTGGGTCCCCTCATGGAGCTCCAGGACTGGGCCCTGGACGTCCGGTGGCTCTCCGGAGACAAACACTCCCTGCTCGGTGTGGCTGTAGCCCACAATAGTGCGCTTCTCCTGGACATCAGGACAGGAAATGCCCTACTTCAGCGCTCCTGTCTGGAGGGCTGTCTTCTGTACTCTGCCCTCCTTCTTGTACATGAATCCTGGGATGATACCATCTTAGTGGGAGGGACTGTTTTCAACCAACTTGTCCTCTGGAAGCCTGGAGCAGGAGGAGATGAAAGTAGCAACTCAAAGCACAAAGCTCCAGTGGAGAGACGTCTGTTAGGCCACAGCGGGGTCATCTTCAGCATCTCTTACCTCCAGGAGAAAGGATGGCTGGCCTCAGCTTCTGACGACCGCAGTGTAAGGGTTTGGGGTGTAGGTGCTTTAGGAGGACCTGGGGGGAAGTGTGGGGACTTGAACCCGTCGTGTTTAAGAGTCCTATACGGACACCAGGCGAGGGTATTCTCCGTGCGTCTCTCCCCAGGAAATGTGTTCAGTGCCGGTGAAGATGGGGCCTGTTTAGTGTGGGACTGGGCTGGAGAGGGCAAGGTGGCTCGGACGTTGAAGGGACACAAAGCAGGCGGGGTTCGTGCACTCGCAATCAGTGAGGGAAGAGCAGATGGAGAGAGATGGGTTGCTACAGGGGGGGCAGATGGAGGGGTGAGGTTGTGGAGGGTGGAAGGGAGCGAGGAGGGGATGGATACGACGGAGGAGGCAGCGACAGAGAAGCTAACAGACCTGAGATTTACCGGTCAAGGCTTGCCTAAAGCGGTCTGTATAGCAGGGGAAGAGGATACAAATGCACCATGGAGTGAGAGCAAGTTTGTGGTTTGCACAGACCACGGAACAGTTTACCAATACAGCGACGGGCAGTGGGAGATGGTATGGCAGGGGACTACTGACTTTCAATCGTATTGTGTGATGGAAACAACAACTGTCAGTGAGAAAAACTCACCAGCAAAAGTTAACTTGTGTGCTGTTGCAAACCTCAGCGGATCCATACATGTCTTCCCCATCTCTCATCCTCAGTGTGGGATTCTCCTTACAGGCGGCTCAGGGAAGATCCATAGCCTTATTTGGCATGAGGCAAAAGAACAAATGTATTTGTTAGCATCAGGTGCTGAAGGATTTGTCTCTCGCTGGTGTATAAAGGTAGAATTAGATGAGAACCCTCCCTTGGCTCTCAGTGTGAAACCCCTTCCTCCCTTCCTCCTTCCCTCCTGTGCCAAACGCTGGCTGACAGCTGCAGTGTGCCTCCACTCCTCGTCACAGGGGTTGCTGTGGGTGTGTGGGGACAGGAGAGGGTCCCTGCTTTTGTTTCAGGAAGGAGGAAAGCAGGAGCGAAACATGAGAGATGGAAAAATAATTGCTGAAAGTTCGCAGACAGGGAGGAAACCAACAGATGGTGAAGGGGTTGAAGTGGAGGGAAATGGAAGCGGTGGAGACATAAAAACTGAAATGGTGGAGGACAGACACCCAACACTTCACCCACTAAGCTGCCGGTTTGGGGTGCATGGGAAACAGGGTGTAACTTCAGTGTGTGAGTACCAGGGGCTGCTCTACAGCACGGGCAGGGACGGCTGTGTGAGGGTCTTCAGAGTGAATCCAACACCACCAGAAAAACCTGAAGAAAAGAGTGTTGAGAACAAAGATGGACTTCAGCTGCAGGTTCTCCGAGTCCAGCGGGCCTGCAAGGGCATGGAGTGGCTGGAGAGGATTCTGATTCTTGAACCCGACATTCCTGTGGAAGAGGCAGAGGACGAAGAGAGCTTTAGACCTGAGGAAGAAAGGACGGAGAATAAGGGAAGAGAAGCCCGGTTTGCTATAATTGGCTTTCATGGTGTCCACTTTGTGGTTTGGGACCCCGTGAGGCTAGAGAGACTGTTTGCAGTGCCTTGTGGTGGGGGGCATCGCTCCTGGAGTCTCTGGCGGTCCCACAAAGGGGTGTGGCCCGGATACGGAGCTCTGGTCTTCATCAAGCAGGGGGCTGTCATGACATCACAGACACCAGGAGAGGCACTGAGCATAGGTGGAAAAGCCGGAGGGTGGGGCCTGAGAGAGGGTGTCCATGGGAGGGGGATTGGATGTATGTGCAGACTTGGGATGATAAGGGGAATCAAGAATGAGAATCAAACTGAAAGTCCTGGAGATTTGGCAGAAACTGAGGGAATGGATGAACTCAAAGAGGGAGGGCATTGGGAGATAGTGGTGACGGGAGGAGAGGACACTAGCTTAACCGTCATTGCAATTCAGCCCCGCTCTGGCAGCATTAAAGTTCTCTCAGTTATCACCGACCACATCTCAAGCATTCGCACGGTGACAGCGGTAACGCGTCAGGAGGCGGGGGGTGAGAGCCAGAAACAGTCCCTCTCTGCCCTGCTGGTGTCAGCGGGGGGGAGAGCTCAGATGCAGTGTTACCGGCTGTCGGTCGGCTGGGACCAGCAGAGACTGGCTCCCTCCTGTCAGGTGATCCAGGTGGCCAGTCACCGATTGGACGAACAATGGGAGAAGAGGCGGAACCGGCACAAGACGGTGAAAATGGACCCAGAAACCAGGCAGGTTGTGTTCTGTACACATGTTAAAGCAATTACACAAGATTTGAACTTTTTTTTTGTTTATATACTAATGTCTGCGTACTGATTTCTCCCTCCTTAATTTCTTTCATCAGTTACTTTCTCTAACAACACAAGTATATATCCTCAAAAATGTTTTTGAAGTTTGCATAGATTTTTACAGGAAGAAGATGCAATATCTGAGTGCCAAACAATCAGCTGAATTTACCCCATACTCTTTTTCTTTTTAAATCTAGTCTACCTATGTCTTACCACCGGCTTGTGTGTTTCAGGTACATGTCTGTGGAGGTGGTGGAGGAGAAGCCAGACGGTGTTCTCCTGGCTATGGCCTGCAGCGACGGAGCACTCAGGTGGGTCACTCTCACAGAAAAAAGACTTTTCCCTCTCTTATTAGCTTGAAGAAAGGGTTAAAGTTGTGGTAACAAGTCTTCCTTCCAACTTTTTAAATGCTCTTAGAAAAGAGATGTATTTAACATAATGTGAGAGAAAAATGTGTTAAACTGATTTAATCTTATAAACCCTTGTGTCATTTTGTATTATTTTGTAATACACTATTTGTCTTATGACAGTGCCCTCACTCACTTCTGCTTTACTGTGTTTTCCAGATTGTTCTCGGTCAGTGAAGGCTCACATCAGATTGATTTGTTGTGGGAGACGTTTTACCACCAGCGCTGTGTGCTCAGTGTTGCTGCCTGCAGCCTGGAGGATGGAGAAGGCCACAGGTGTGCAGATGTTCATTTCTCTTTTTATTTGAATCTCCTGAGTCTGGATTGGGTGAATGTCCACACCTTTATTACAAGTTACATGTAATCCTGCTTTATAGTAACCAATCAAAATCAGAGCCTTTATTGTTCTTTTAATATATTTGTATTATTTTAAACCGTTTTAGAAAAGTGTAGTGACTGGCAGATCAAGACTACAGTTTTAACCTAAATGACTGAAGGTACATATCGGTATTCCTCTCTCTCTCTCTCAGGTATAGGCTGCTGTTCAGCGCTGCAACAGATGGCAGAATTGCAGTGTGGGATTTGACAGATGCTTCTTTCTTATCGACCGGTACTCAGCCAATCCCCTGCCTCCACATCCACGCCCACCAGAGCGGCATCAACTCATTGGCTGTTTGGACAGAGCAACCGGGACTAAACGAGGGCGGTTGCCTGGTAACGGTTGCTAGCGGAGGGGATGATGGGCAGCTGACAGTGTCCACAATAAGGGTGCACTACCCAGAAGACAGAAAGTTTGGGGGCAGCAGAGGGTCCTCTCAGATTTCAGAGGCCCTGAGCCCCCCAACCCAGCTTCATCTTGAACTTCACTCCCAGTCCCACTCCCCGCTGGCTCACGCTGCCCCCCTGACCGCCCTGAAGCTCCTGAGCCCTGGCCTCCTGGTCTCCACCTCTGCAGATCAGAGGGTTTGCCTGTGGAGGGTCTGCAGTACCGGGATCAGCCACATTGGGGCGCTGTGCTCCCACGTTGCAGATGCTGCAGGACTGGCAGTGTGGGAAGGGCAGCTGAGAGAGGAGGAGGAGGAGGGGGATAAAGAGATGAAAACAAGCTTTGAGTCTGAGCAGGAGATTTCAGTTTGGAGAGGGAGTCAGATAGGATTCAAAAAGACAGCGGCACATTTCAGTAATGAGGAAACAGCTAGTGAGTCTGAGGGTGGAGGAGCCGTTGAAGCAGAGAGTGAGACGGGTCTCCTGGTGTGTCAAACCAGTGAGGAGAAGGCAGGTGAGACAGCTAGTGAATGTAGTGATCAAGCAGAGACTGACAGGGTTAGTCAGGGAAACACTGAGAGAGGTTTCAGGAGGGAGAAGACGGGATGGGTGCTGCTCTGCGGACAGGGCTTCCAGCTGCTACGAGTCCCAAAGACAGAGAGCGCACAAAGCCAAAAGGAGAGTCACAGAGTTAAAGTGACTTTACAAGGAAAGTCCATATAAGTGCAATCAAAAGATAAGGGTGGTCAAAACAATGACTTGTAATATTAGATTCAATTTACTATGTAAATTACATTTTTAATAAAGTCTATTTAGAATTTCAGTTTTCTTGTTATTTTTGGGTACATTACAATCATGTCAAACATGAATTCCTTATGGGCTTATAAATGAATAAATAGAACAACTTTTACCCAGAATGTCACCAACAAACCAGTGTGGAGAGATTTCAAACCCTTTTTTCCTCTGGAGTAGTTTAAGTTTAACTTCTCAGAAACTTTACTTCTTCATCATTCATTTCCTGAAAATGGAGGTCTGGCATCAGGCTTCGTCTCTGCTTTGAACAAATCATGAAGGAAACATCCTAATCTTCATGGATATTTCCAGAGAACATTAAAGCCGTCTCTGATGAGTCTGGGCCATCTGGTCTCCTTCAGGGAGAAGCGCTACACTCCACAAAGATGGATGAAACAAGTGGAGTTATTTATAATACAGCTCGCTACATCTCCACCGGCCAGGAAATAAAGCTGTGTACTCGAAGCCTCGGGACTCAATTTGCTGTAAGAACAAGGAAAAACTCAAGTCTGAATTTCTCAAAAAAGTGTTTGGAAGATTAATCAAATCAGGTTTTATTTATAGAGCACATTTAAAAACGATGTTTGTTCGAGACAAAGTGCTGTACATGTAATAAAAACACTTTACTACAATAACAACAAAAGACAATAATTTACATCAGCAAATATTAAAACAAAACACAGGGAAATGTCAGGAGTCGTGCTCCGCTCTGACTAGAAGGCCAGAGAGCAGAAGTGAGTCTTCAGTGAGGATTTAAAAACGCCTAGGGTCTGGGCCGACCTCCCATGTAGGGGCAGACTGTTCCAGAGCCTGGGGCCAGCTGCTGCGAAGTCTCGGTGCCCTCGGGTTTTGAGCCTGGTCTTGGACACTACCAGCAGCAGCTGGTCAGCTGACCTTAAAGCTCTGGCTGGGGTGTAGCGCTGGAGGAGTTTGGCTATATAGGCAGGAGCCAGGCTATTTAGTGCTTTAAAACAAATAAAAGGATTTTAAAATCAATTCGGAACCGAATTGGAAGCCAGTGTAGTGAGGCAAGAATGGGGGTGAAGTGGTCACGCTTTTTGTGACCAGTCAGAAGACGTGCAGCTGCGTTCTGGACTAGCTGCAGGCGTCTAATTGAGGCCTGGTCCATACCCACACCCACATACAGAGCGTTGCATTAGTCCAGCCTCGAGGTAACAAAGGCAGTAATCACCCTTTCTAGGTCTTTAAAAGATAAAAACGACTTGGTCTTGGCCAATAGTCTTATTTTTTTTTTTTAAAGCAGGTTTTGACTATGGAGCTGACCTGCTTATCAAATTTAAAAGCGCTCTTGAAGGTCACTCCAAGGTTCATGACAGAGGGGAGGATGTTTTTATTGAGAGCCCAGAATTGTTGGGGTCCAAAAAAATAAATAAAAAAGGATTATATGAAGTTAAAATGTCTTCCCCTTCCAACCCCCACTCCTGAGGTGCCCTTGAGCTAGGCACTGAAAACCAGACAAAAGTTATCATCCTTTCATCGCAGACTTAAAGAAATACTTCACCAACAGATGGATCATCAAATATGCCGTAGCAGTATATTACTCATTCTGTTTAACTTTGATTTCTTGAATGAAACACCTATCCATTGACCAAAGAATAAAAAAATGGAGACAAGTCCCCAACAACTTCCATTTAAAAACTCTCACAACTCGTGCAGTATGATCCAGGTGTCTTTTCTCCAGTTGCATGCCCACTACTACCTCAGACTCGAGATATATCTACCCGCAAGCAGCAAGTTAAAACTCTCCTTCAACAGGAAGGGAAATCTGGCCAAGAACATAACTGTTCACTATTACAAGCATTAAAAAACATGCTGTCTGTGTATGATTATACATGCACAGGTTAGTGTATCCAGCGAAAAATTAGGAAATAGTCTTTGTTTTGAGATCATTGAGGGCTCTATTTCTACATATTTTAGTCAAGAGTATGATCGAGAAGAGTGATTGGTCGAAGGTAATGGTCTTTTTTTGTGTGTTTGCGTACATGTGTTATAAATGGCTATTTTAGCACCTTTGAAACTGAATGTCTTGTTACATGAAATGCTAATGCTGCTTACTGTAAGTGGCAGTTGATATGTGTGCTAATTATTTGCATATTTGGTGTGCGCCTGTCTCTCATGCAAATGTAGCAGTGTCAGACGAAGTGTGAGATGACGAGCAGCATGTTAAATGTCATACAAAGTGGATAGGAGTGTGTGTTGAGTCACTATTGCCTGGAATTTAAATGTAGACATCAAAGTGTGTGTGTCAGTTTGTGGAGGGTCTGGATGGGGGTCAGAGCCCATGAAGGGGCCCGACTGCAGGTATCCATGAATATTTTAATATTTTAGCATCGTCTCACGTTGCCTTTTGTCGGTCACCGATCTCACTGCCTGCCACTCACCACGGAGGGAATGAAAGAGGAAAGAGAGCGGGAGACTGGAAGCTAATGTCACCCTGAAAAATAAGGGGGGGGGGGGGAAATATGGAAAGAAGATGAAAAGGGGGATGAAAGCCCCTGCCACCATTTATTTTTGCAGTTAGGGAGAAGTTAGGTAAAAAGGAGAAAGGAAGAAAAAGGACCTTTATAACCACCACTTTCACTTAATTGGGGAGGAAGGGGTGAGAGAAATAGAGGAGGGAGAGTGTTGATAAGGGAGAGGTGAGGAGTCAGTAAAAGGGGGCAGACAGAAATGGAGAAGGCACCTGCTGCTTTGAGCGTTTGTCTGTTGGCTCACAGCAGAGAAAGAGAGGAGAGAGGAGGCTGAGAAAAGTGAAGGAGAGGACTGATTGATGAGTGAGGAAGTGAAAGATGAGACAGAGAGGAAGACGCTCAAAGAACAGGACGTGTGTCTGGGATACATTTGATGTTTCAACAGGAATACTCTTTATGATTTAAACCACCATCTGCAGTCTTCAAACATATGTGGAGAGAGACTTTTGGAAGCAAGCTTGAAAAACTATCGATGTATGCTTATGTTGACCCAGGAGAACTACAGGAGGAGTAAGGGTCCGCAGGAGTGACACCCATTGAAGAGGTAAACACACACTCTCTCTTCTGACCTTTCTTCAAGTCCATTGTCACTCACAGATAAGCTAAATGTTGCATTTAGTATCATGATCTTATGATAAAATGCTTGATATGGTGCTTTAATCAAACACAAATGAAATGCATAAAGCTCTGTTCCTTAACAGATTTACACTCATGTTCAACAATACACGATGGCTATTTAGCAATATAGTTCAAGTGATTAGAATAAGGATTAAGTAAAAGGTTGAGTTCAGAATAAAAAAACATATTTCTGCTCAGGTTTCTGGATCGGTGATGTCACGTGAACGGCTCCCTCTCATTGGTTCATCCGGGAGTAGAACAACAGGTGAGCCAGTCATGACCCTCACCTCTCCATTTTACATTACATTTAGCTGGAGGAGCATATGCTTGAATTATTGTATTATGATCATTTCCTACCTGAAGGTTTTTGTAAATTAGGTGTTCTTGTTAAAAGAGCATCAAGTGCAAGGTGTCTGATGCTCCATTGCAAGTAACTACAGGACAACATTTGAATGTATAAGTTAATAGTCCAAATAGGCTTAAGTGTTACATAAATGCATTCCTTAAGGCTTAAGCAAATGAAACTGAGTAGTATTGATTATACCAGTTGTAAAGCACTTTTCAGAAACAGCTCCAGGCCAGTATGTTATTCCTTTGAATGGGGAATCTGATCATGTGACAGAAACAAAAGCTATGTTTTCATATTTTACTTTTGTCTTAACAGCTTAAAAGATAGTGTGTTTGTGACAGAAAGTGAGGTGAATGTAATTCATTGACCAACTACACTAGTATCTTTTGTAGCTTCTTCATCTAATCTCCCCTTCCTTACAGCAGCGAAGCCCCCTCTCTCCTCCCCGGCTCTCCCGCGCCCCCATCAGGCTAATCACAGAAAACGCAGCCAGCAGCAGACATCCTCCTCTTCCTCTCACCCTCATCCGGGGCCTTCCTCCATCCTCGTCTCTGACACCACCATGACGCCTTGGGGAGGCCTGGCTCTCTCCGTCCCCCCGGCACCTACCACCCCCGTCCCTAACTCCCACC